AAAGGGAGCAGAGTTGGAGTCTGGCGGCGGGGGAGGGGAATGTGCTTGTTGCCTGGGGGAGCAAGTCCCCGGGGTGTCCAGACATCACCTGTTCTCTTTCCCACAAACGCCCCCAGCAGCGCGGCGCCTGCACGCCGGGGAGTTAGGGCCCAGGTGCTCCTGTGCTGAGACACTGGTAAGAAACCAGCACTTGCACCCTGGGGCCTGTGATGGAGCCTGCAGCTCCCTGGGCCGATGCCTGAGCCAGCCCGACCCACAAAGGTTCTGCCCACGGCAGCCATGATGCTCCAGCGCACAGGAGATGGGAGGGGTCAATCCATGAGCAAGGGGGGCAGTTGGGTCCATCCTCCTCCCTGAACCTCACAGCATGTCACAGAGACGTCGGCTGCCACTCACCTGAGCAATTCACGGCAGCATCTTCCTTATGGCCACAGGGGCTGTCACCCCAGGGCTTGGCAGGACAGTCCCAGAGGGATGACTCTGTCCCTCTGCAATCCAGCATCTCCACCCAGATGGGACCAGTCCCCTCGCCGAATGCAGCCTCGCCCAGGGCAGACACGGCCGCTCCACAGCCCAGTTGTTTACACGTCACGTTAGCGTCCGCCAAGTCCCAGGAGTCATCACAGACTGTGCCCCAGGAGCCACGGTACCAAACCTCCACTCGGCCCGAGCAATTGCCCTCTCCTCCCACGAGGCGCAGCTTGTCCCGGTCTGGAAATGCAGAAACCTCCCATGTTACTGGCACAGCGGGGAACCCTCAGGGAGCAAGAGGGGACAGGGAGAGGCAGAGATACCTGTGCAGCTTGTCGAGTTCGGGCATTCAGCAAACAGGGGCTGAGGCGGTTTCTCCTTTTTCCCTGCAGACAGCAAAGGATGCAGTGAATGGACTGAGGAGCATGAGTGATGTGGGAGTGAGCAGGGTGGGTCTGTACATGAAACCCCCCAAGTTCAGCAAGTTTATAAACTTAAATCTACACTCTAGTTTTTTCCTAGCTAATGGATTTGATACTCAGCCACCCCCCTGGCTTCTGAAATCTCTGAGCAGCTCCCAGCTGGTGTGACGGTTGGTGGATGTCTGAGTCTGTCCCAGTATTCCCACAGACGGTCACTCCTGAGCCCTGCCCCTTCCAAGGTTGGAAGGTGGAAGCCAATGGCCAGCTGGAATTCACCCAGGTTATTGTGGGGATGCAGGGACAAGAAAAGAGTGGGGTCAGCACTGGGCTGGTGTGGGACTGTCGATCTGAAACCCGCTATCGCCGCATTCCTTCACAGACACAGACACCCGCTTGGGGACTGCTCACTGCCTGGCTGGCAGGAAGCAGAGCCTGCAGCAGAGCCCGTCTCCAGGCAAACTACCAAGGGTCTGCAGTAGGTGTCTGATCGGTGGGAAGCCTGCCTGATGGGTGGGAAGGGGAAAGCCCAACAGCCACAGCAGCCATTCAACAAGTGCTCACAGCTACAATACTTGGTGCTCCTGCCTCCTTCCCAGCCCTGCTTTTTCCTTGGCCCCAGACTCACCCCCTCTTGCCTCACTCCAGGTAACTCTGTCCTTCCCTTTGGTTCCTATTGCTGATTTCTGACTGGCTCTGGCCTCTGAGCATACCTCTAAACTGCACGGCTATTTGGGATACTAGAGGTATCCCGAAATAGCTACCCCACGTCTACGCAAGCCACCTCTTATTTTGAAATAGCGGGCATGCTATTTCACTATCTCCTGTTCTAACTACTCACCACAACTGCCACGTCCTGGTCACTGGCACTGGGCTCATCTCTGACTGTTCACCCCACACGGGCAGCCGCACAGATTCCCACCTGGGACTCGCTCACAAAGATGTCTGGGGGCTCCCCTAGGTGACTGCTCTGTGCCACCCAGCGCCTTTCACTGACTATCGCCCCTGTTGCTTTCCCACGAGCTGTATTCTCATTCCTGGGACGGTCGGTGACACGGCGCCTGTCACTGCTGAAACTAAACTCAAACCCACTTCACCAGGCGCTGTGAGTGTGGAAGTGTCCGTGCTGAAAAGTGAAGACGTGAAAAACTGCTCCCAGGCCCTTCCCTTGTGTCAGACATGCAGAGGGTGCGTGTCAGCGTGGAGCGTGTCAGAATTACCAGTGCAAGAGATGTGGGTCTCTTCCGCACGGTTATCACACGACTGCTGTTCCCACGGGCGGGAGGGGCACTGCCAAAGGGAGCTGTGCTGCTCACGGCATGTAACATGGTCCAGCCATGTGGGACCAGAACCTTCTCCATACTCAGGGTCTGTCTCTGTATACCCTCCGTCCCCACAGTTCAGCTGCTTGCAGATGATTGATGCAGTAACTGTAGACATTTGATTGGAGCAAACGCTGCCCCACGTCCCATTGTAGAAAACCTCCAGCCGCCCGGCACAGTCACTGCCACTCACCAGCCGCAGGTCTGTGAACTCTAGAAGAAACGCACAGACGTGCAATATAAATGGTCTGATTCTGAACATAACAAGGGTGGGAAGAGTGAAAACCCCATAACCATGACCAGCCCCAGGCATTGTTCTGCACAGGCCAGTGCCTACAAAAGTCGCTGCAAGAATCAGAGACTCATCCGGCCACCACGTGCCCATTAGAAATGCAAAGGGCACATCTGGAAAGTGCCCCCTTAATGGCCGTTACACGCACAGATAGTCCAGCGATAGCTGTAACCGCCCCTCCCGGGGGACACAAATGCAACAAGAACTCATGGGAAATGGAGACTTTCTAATCAAGATCCCAGTAGGTAGGTAGGGGAGACACAGAGACAGCGAGAGAGTTTCTACCATTCCCAGCTGTCTCCTCACATCCCCTGGTAACCAGGCTCCCAAGAGCGCTCCCAGACCAGACCTGAGCAGAGAACTCCCGCGTCCTCCTTGTGTCTGCAGTTGTGCTGGCCCCAGGGTGCGAAAGGACAGGCCCAGAGATCGGATTCGTTCCCAGAGCACTTCACATCGTCCAGCCAGATCTGCCCGGACCCTTGCCCGTAATGAGCAGAGACAGTTGCATTGAGGGCGTGTCCACATCCCAGCTGTTTGCAAACGACATCGGCGTCCGGCAGGTCCCAGGAATCGTCACAGACTGTCCCCCAGGTGCCATTGTAATAAATCTCCACTCTCCCGGCACAGCGACCCGGCCCATTCGCCAGCCTGATCCGCCTGCTCCCTGTGGGACAGATCCCAGCGGTTAGTGCGCGTCGCCCTGCTGCCCAGAGCACGTGTGTGAGATCGGGAAACGACTCACCCGAGCAAACGACACCGACGTCCTCGGCAATTCCTGCCTGGGCCGGCTCAGACGGGGAGTTGTCACAGCTGGTCAGACGAGTCTCGTTCCCTGCACACTGGACCCTTCTCATCCCCACAGGGCCCATCCCTCGCTCAGACGAAGGGGGGTTATAAGCTCTCTCAGCTGCTCCGCACTGGAGCTGCCTGCAGACCACGCTGGCATCGTTCATGTCCCACTGGTCATCCAGCACCCGGCTCCACACACCTCGGAGGGAAATCTCCACTCTGCCATCGCACCGGCTCTCTCCACTCAGCAGCCGCAGCGCCCCAGAGAGACCTGGGCCTAGGAGAGATGGGAGAGATGCACTGAATAATAGTCTCCATTGTGCACTGCAAACAGTGCGCAGTGTGTGATGTATTATGGACTGTCTCTAAAGAGGAAGGTGTAACCCAGTAATAAGAGCATGTATCGGTGTTAAAGGGAACAGACTCTGTCAGAAGGACCTTTTTCTTTTCAATCCGTAAGTGGAAGTTTCTGTAAGGGCAGCCATACTCTGGGCATGGTGGAGGGGCTTGCTGGCACACCCTGCACATGAGTGAGCGAGGACATTCCTGTTGATTTCTGCCTGAGAAACTCTCTGGCTGTGTGTGCTGTTGTAATGGCTGCTGAGGTTTGTAGTCACCTACCCAGGGTTAAATGCCTGGCAGCCAGTGAATGGTGTCTGCATAGGTGCACAGTGGGTGCATGATTTAGGCAAATTTGCCTTAAGGAAGTTTGGCCAGTGGTGATCAACAGCGGCTTACAGTTGTTAAATACAGCCAGGCAGCAGATCAGGAAGGACTCACTGAGCTCAGAAGTGGGTGGAGCCAAGAGAGACTGATCTGGCCAAAGACAAGCAGCAGGGCCGGTGCAGCGGCTGTGGCTGGCACGGTACATGCCTGACAGGTGCAGAGCACATGCACTGGATCCAAACAGCCCTTCCCCTACCCTGGGCAGAGCAGGACAGCTCCGGCCGGCCATGGGGCTCTCCTGCGCCCTTGCACACCACCCAACTCCCTCTCCTGAGCTCCCCACCCCTTGCATTGGGCTCCCCCTCCAGTGTCCCAACCCCCCTGAAAATGAGTTATGGGATCTGAGCAGTGCTGGGAACATCTGCTCATAATAGAGACGCACCAGGTAGAGAGGTGGGTTGAATCAGTATTGCAAGTGCAGCCTTAACTCTGGTATTTCCTAAATCTAACTAAATGAAATGACACCGTATTTTATTATTTTACTAAAAGGTAAATATTAAAGGAGGTCAACAACACAAAATCTTTCCTGTGAAGAAAAGAATCATAGAACACTAGAATTGGAAGGGACCCTGAGAGGTTATCGAGTCCAGTCTCCGGACCTCATGGCAGGACCAAGCACTAGACCATCCCTGATAGATGTCTATCTAACCTGCTCTTAACTATCTCCAGAGATGCAGATTCCACAACCTCCCTAGGCAATTTATTCCAGTGTTTAACCACCCTGACAGGAAGATTTTCCTAATGTCCAAGCTAAACCTCCCTTGCTGCAATTTAAGCCATATTTCAATTTTTAAATAGATCTGACATATTGTCATGTGGAAATGGAATGATAATTTCTGTTTAGATTCTAACTGAAGTGTTAGAGTGTTCTTCTACTGTAAAAAAGTTAATAAAAAAGTTTAAAAGGTGTAAAAAGGCAGGAGGAAAATCCTCTGAGTTTTTTCAGCTGGAAAGATGTGAACAATGTTAAAAAAGCCAAGGGAGAGAAAGTGCTTTTTCATTTGTGCCTTGCTACCTAAAATAGCCTAGAAACTCAAGTGAGAGAAGGGGGATTTGATTTTCAGCAGTTTATAATTCAGTCAAACTTGGATGGAATTTCACTTCACAAAAGGAAGGGACCTCCCTGGTCCCAGCACTGACCCCTTCCCATACTACAAAGGCTGCTGCAATCAATGAAGGCAGAAGAGCTTCTCAGGAAGGTGCAAACTGCCGACAATATTTAATAATAGAAAGTATGAAAGAACCACCATATTGGGAGTCACTATTAGCCGCTCCCTCCCCACAATTACCATTGGAGAAGGACGGGGACAGTGAAACGGTGACATTTATGAAAACCAAAGAAGAAAGTGCTACTCTTGCTCCACTGCCCTTTGTAAGGACAGAGTTGCTGATGTTTTTACTGGAGAATCCAGAGCTTCCCTTCACTGGTATTTTTCTGATACCATTATTTACTTGTATTGTATCTGTAATTTATTAATGATGATTATTATTATTAATTTGGAATCAAGCTCCTCCTCCCCTCGCTGTGCTCTGAGGTCCCCCTGCTCTGGGGCAGTGTCACACACTGATGGCAGGTGTCACTAATCCAACATTGCCCCTGCACTTACCTGAGCAAACCACACTGGCATCATTGTCATGTGAGCACAGAGAGGGCCCCCAGGGCAGTGACAGGGCAATGCCCCAAATGGGGCTCAGTCCCTTCACAGTGAAATGTGTCTGCCCAGACAGGGCCGGTTCCCTTCCCAAAGTGCCCTCCTCCTGGCACCAACACAGCGAATCCACAGTCGAGCTGACGACAGAGAACGTTGGCGTCTGAGAGATCCCAGCGCGAGTCACAGAGGGTTCCCCAGGCACCACGCACCTGGATCTCCACCCTCCCGGAGCAGGCTGTGCTGCCGTTCACCAGCCGGAACCCTGCGAGCCCAGGGGAGAAGGGAGAAGGGTTTAGAGAAATGAAGCCTTGGAGCTATTCTGTAGCAAATAGTTAACAAAAGGAGACTCGGGGCATTTGGTTCCTGTCTCATTATCTTGGCTTGTTTGGGGTTTTATCCAACCCAGCTCCCTACACAGGCAGATCCCTACCTCACCTCACCCTAATGCAGAATACACAGGAGCGTGATTTTAAAGATGTTGCACTGAGTCCTTACGTGAGCACGTGACACCAGCATCGTTTGCATGTGAGCACGTCTGATTCACTCGAGAGATACTGGGGCAGGAAAACAGGAGAGACTCATTCACCACACAGTGGAAGTCTTCAGTCCAGACCAGCCCTTGTCCTTCGCCAAAGTGAGCGCCTCCGAGGACCGATGCAGCTATTCCACACTGCAGTTCAGTACAGATGACGTCGGCAACTTTGAGATCAAAGTGCGCATCACAGACTGTAGCCCACGTGTCTCCATGTATTATCTCCACACGTCCTGAGCAGGCAGTGTCCCCTCCAACCAGCCGGGGCTTCACATGTCCTGGAAAGTCAATGAAGGCTGAAAATTATAAGGGGCCTTTGGTAGTAGGGATGCTTGAGTGCCATAAAATAGTGTCTAAATGCTGATTTCCTGTTCTGTGGTCTAGCGACGCAGCAATAGAGATAAAAGGGCAATGAATAAAACATGGGGGAAAGGGGCACTAGAGGAAATCAGTCAATATACGTAAGACGACAATATGAAGAAAACTGATAATGGAAGCTAAAGACCCCTAATTGTAAAACTCATGGCTGGCAGAGCTAAGAGCAATGAGTTTATGAGGAACAAACAAGAATGGAAGCAAAGACCCCTAAGTATAAAACTCATGGCTGGCAGAGCTAAGAGCAATGAGTTTATGAGGAACAAACAAATAAACAAACCCTAACAATGGTGAAGGCCCATTAGAAATGGAGATGGTAAAACTGTTAATAATGAACCAGAAAAGCCAGAAGTGCTCAATAAACATTTTTAGTTTTGGATGGCAACAAGGTGTCTGTTCATATTTTGTGAAGAGGATGAACCACTCTCCAGTCTGTTGATACTGAAGAAGAATATTAAATGGCATCTACCATGGTTAAATATTTTTAGTTATATCCACAGGCCTGAATAGCTGATAAAACCACAGAATAATAGAAATGTTGGATTGGAAGGAACCTCAAGAGGTCACGTAGTCCATGTCCTCATACCAAGGCAGGCTTAAGTAATCCTAGGCCATCCCTAAAAGATTTTATTATTTCATTTGTTGTGCAAAGTCACCAGTGATGGCTGTTCCAGCGATGGCTATGTAAGCTATTCCATTACTTAATGGTGGCTATTGTTAGAAAGCTTTTCCTAATATCGAATCTGAATTTCCTCCCTTGCTGCAATCTAAGGGTATGTCTACACTACCACCCTAGTTTAAACTAGGGTGGGTAATGTAGGCAACCAAAGTTGCAAATGAAGCCCGGGATTTAAATATCCCGGGCTTCATTTGCATCTTGCCGGGCACCGCCATTTTTAAATCCCCGGTAGTTCGGACTCCGTGCCCGTGGCTACACGCGGCACGGAGTATGTAGTTTGAATTGTGGAACAAGGAGTACCGGTAGTTCGAATTAGAAAGCCTAATTTGAACTACCTACTCCGTGCCGCGTGTAGCCGCGGGCACGGAGTCCGCACTAACGGGGATTTAAAAATGGTGG